GCACCCACAATCCTTTTTTTTTTTTTTTCAAGACAGGGTTTCTCTGTGTAGCTTTGGAGCCTATCCTGGCAGTCACTGTGTAGACCAGGCTGGCCTCGAACTCACAGAGAACGGCCTGTCTCTGCCTCCAGAGTGCTGGGATTAAAGGTATGTGCCACAAACGCCTGGCACCCATAATCTTTTGAATAGAGGTCAATACAAGCTGAGAAGAATTGATTCTTTTTTTTAACATTGATTTTTGTTTATTTACTGGTTTGAAAAACTCTTGGGGACTTTGTTACATGTCAGTTAAAACAGATCTAAGGGACCCAAATGCAGCATGGAATCTCTGAGTTTTTGGTTTTGTTTTTTGTTGGTTTTTTTTTTTTTGGTTTTTTTTGTTTATTTTTTTAAGACATCCAGAAGCAAGTCTTTATTTTTAGGTCTGAGTTGCTGAACATTATCTTTTTTTTTTTTTACTTTTTTTTTTATTTTATTCTTTTATTAGTTCAAATTAGGAACAAGCTTGTTTCACATGTCAATCCCTTCTTCCTCTCCCTTCCCTACCCCTCAACATCCCACCTGCCCCTACCCACCCCCCTCCACTCCCCAGGCAGGGTAAGGCCCTCAAAAGGGGCTCCCCAAAGTCTACCACATCATCCTGGGCCAGGCCTAGGCCCTTCCCCATGTGTCCAGGCCAAGAGAGCATCCCTTCACATGGGATGGGCTCTCAAAATCCCTTCTCAAAATCCCTTCTTTTTTTTTTTTTTAAAGACCTTACATATTTAATACAGTGCATTACCACTGTACAAATGGAAAAAAAATTATGTTCAACATTTCTAGAGCAGTATGGCTTTTAATTTTTGTACAATGCCAACTCAACACAGTAAACTGGGATACTTTTTTCCAAAGTTGACAGCGCAGCTAAAGTTTCCAAAAATTCAATATATATATATATATATATATAAAATATATAATTTATATATATATAATAAGACCAATAATAGCAGTATGTTATGCATCAATAGCAGCAACAGCTTTTCCAGGTTCTGCAGTCATTTGAACAAAATTGTAGAGACAGCCAGCGAGAAGAATTGATTCTTAGTACTCTATGACAAAGATAAGTTTCTTTTGTGTTATACATTATTTAAAAAACAAACAACAATAACAAAAAAAAACAACCCACCCAACTTGAGCTGTTTAGCCAGAGAAACCAGGCTTAAAGTCCTAATTAGCTTTGTCACTAATTAGATTGTGAAAGATGACTCCTCTTCTGTGTCCCTATTTCCTTGACTATACAGTCAACTCTATAGGGTGATAGTTCGGATGAAATATAATCCAAATGTAAAGCCTCTACTACAGAACTTGAAACATTGGAGGCACAGAGAAAATATTATTCGCTCTTTATACCCCCTTCACTCATTTTCTATGAGTACTTAGAAAATATTCAGTATGGATGCCCACTCGATTCAGTAGTTCTATGGTATTAAATTCTATGTTATTAATCCAGGATAGCAGAGCATGTGCAAGAACCAAGCAGCATTTTACCCTTGCTTGCAGAGAGGGAGCAATTGTCTATGAGCTAAGGTTTTGAGACCAACCAAAGGGATACTCAGGCTCATTTCAGGTCATGAGCCTCAGGAACAGTTCTTTGGCCCCTCTGTCAAGAATATGGAACAAGGAGCTGAAGAGACGGCTCAGAGGTTTAGAGCACTTGTTGCTCTTGCAGAGGACCCTGGTTTGATTTCTAACACCCACATGGTGGCTCAGCATGATTTATAACTCCAGTTCTAGAGGATCTGATGCTCTCTGAGAGCACCAAGCATGCATGTGGTGTATATGCATACATACAGGCAAAACACTTACACATAAAATGAATAGATCTGAAAAAAAAACTTTTAAAGAATATAGAACAAGTATATGTTACAAATGGAGTTATTGAAAACAAATTAAAAAATAATTTACTATAATCTACTATAAATAATCAAGCTGAACATAACTTACATATCCTGTAACCAAGCTTTCAACCTTTGTATTTATACCCTGGGAAACCTTCAAATATGTTCCAAGAATATTACATCAGTTGAGTATTTAAATTTTGCTACATTCATAAAATGGAATATTATAAGTAAGAACAAAGTTGCTGCATGACATGAAACATTATGAATCAATTTTAAAATTAGTAACTGAGCAAAAATAAAAGACAGAACTGGGTGTAGTGGTGCATCCTTTTAATACCAGTACTCAGCAGGCAGAAGCAAATGGATCTCTCTGAGTTCCAGGACAGCCTGATCTACATGAGTTCCAGATAGATAGATAGATAGATAGATAGATAGATAGATAGATAGATAACAAAAAATGAATGCATAGGTTTCGAATTTAAAAAATAGACAAGGCAGCAGAGTGGTGGTGATGTGCACCTTTAATCCCAGCACTTGGGGGTCAAAGGCAGGCAGATCCCTGTGAGTTTGAGGCCAACCTGGTCTACACAGCAAGTTCCAAGACAATCAGAGCTCCACAGAAAAACCTGTCTTGGGAAAAAAAATAGACAAGGCCAGGAGTGGTGACATAAACCTTTAATTCCAGGATGCAGAGGCAGGCAGACCTCTGAGCCTTGTCAGTATAACAAGTTGCAAACCAGACAGGACTACATAGCAAGACCTTCTCTCAAAAAAAATTAAAATTAAATAATAAATAAGAAGCAAAATCTGAATGAATGAGAACAAAGTTTGATAATTCATATATATGAAGGTTGCCACAAGGTTCCCCATTGCTTTTTATTCCAGCCTAATTTTTTTAAACAATTATTTATTGATTTTTTGGGAATTTCACACCATGCACCCCAATTGCACTCATTTCCAAGTCCTTCCATGCCTGCCCTCCACCCTTGTAACCTCTCCCCTGCCCCTGAAAAAAAAAAAGAAAAAAAAATTAAATCTACGAGTTGTTGAATCGTATGAAGGGGAAAATCCTGTGGAACCAAAGCCAAAGGATCTCGACAACTCAGGGCAATGGTAGAACATCAGAGGCGTATTAATGAGTGTCCAGCATTGATGGTGTAGCAGAAGCCAGAGGCCTTGAACCAGACCAACAACTCATTGCAATGAACATTTGCAAGTAAAGCTGTTTGGGCAAAAGGGTATGTACTTCATGACCAACCTGAAATTTTTAATAAGACATTATTTTTAAAACAAGCAAAACTCATTGGCAGTGGTGGCATGTGCCTTTAATTCCAGCATGTGGAAGGCAGAGGCAGGCAGAGCTCTGTGAATTTGAGGCCAGCCTGGACTACAGAGTGAGTTCTAGGACAGCCAGGACTACACAGAGAAACCTTGTCTCAAAAAAACCAAAAGAGGAAAAAGAAAAGGCAAAACTCATTTGTGGTAATAAGAATTAAATAATAATTATCCCTAAGCTGGGTACAGTAGCTTATCCCTATAATCCTAGCACTGGGGGGACTAAGGAAAGACTGTCACAAGTTCAAATTTGATCCTATCTCAAAAATTAATTAATTAATTAATTAAAAAGACTAGTGAGATGGTTCAACAGATCAAGGTACTTACACCTGAGCCTAGCAACCTCAGTTCATTCCCAGAATTCACATGGTAGAAGGGCTGAAGTAATGAATGCCCAAAGAGGTTAAGGAACTTCCTCGAAATAATTCCATCAGTTTTTAAAAGGCCTCCTGGCTTCTGTTCAAGGGTTCTTCTCCCAGACCCACTCTGACTGTTCATTCCTTCTTTCCTACTCTCTTTCAGAGGTCAGAACTGGACACATCATCTCTACTACTAGATATTTTCTCTTAATTTTAGTTTTGTGTTTCTGCTCCATGCTTCAACATTCAATTTGGCTTCAGGGTATCCATGAATAGGTTCAGTCCCTAGTACTTACACACACACACACACACACACACACACACACACACACACACACACACACACACACACACACGAGAGTGAGGGGGAGAACAAATTTATAAAAGAAAATTGCAATTTCATTTTTAGCCATGCATGATATTGCTTTTGGGAAAAATGAGATTTTCCTCTTTTGTGACACAGGGTGAGAAATGAGATTTCAGATCCATTCCTACCTTTGCTGCAAGGTGGCAGCACTGTCCCATGGCAGCTACAGAAAGTTTTAAACAGAACAGCCGAGAATGTATCAAAACCACCAGGGAATAGAGAATCATATGATCATAGTACGAGAATGGTCAACAAAAATCATGAAAACCCAGGAAAGCAATGGAACCCTTCAATCTGTTCTCCTGCATTGAAGAAAACCAAGCAACTGCAGCAGAGGAAGAGCAGCAGGGCCAGGGGAGATTTGCTGCTGGGCTTGATGCCCAGGGCTTGCTTTGTCCCTTCCCTAATTTTAGCCAACAAAATGTCCTTCAGGGATCTCCCCTCCATTAATGTTTCCCACCAAGACTTTGATGCTCAGTTTGGCCAGATTTCAAGTGTATTGATGTGTCAGGATGAGACTTAAACCGTAATTTGATTAAAATATCACAAAACCCCTTATGGAAAGTCCTTTGAACCAACTCTTTATGTGATTATCAAGCAAGAGTTTCGGCCTCCAGAAACCTCTCATACATAGCTAAGCCCATGTCGGCTTCAATGAAGCATATTTACAGCTGGTAGGAAGGCTGTGGAGGCTCTGGACATCAACAAATATCTAGTTAGATGTTTTCTTCTTTATGATCTCACCTAGCTCTGCTATCAAGAAGCCTTTAGAGTCAGACATAGTGATGCACGCCTGTAATCTCTGTTACTGGGAGACAGAAGCAAGAAGATCATGCGTTCAAGGCCAGCCTGTGATACAGAATGAGTTTCAAGAAAGTCTGGGCCTGTGATACAGAATGAGTTTCAAGAAAGTCTGGGCTATATGGGAAGACCTCCTCTTTAAAAAGACATCTTTAAAGCATAATACTAATTATATACTCTTTACTGAAGGATAGAATTTTGGGTGGAAAATTCAGTAGCAGCTACTCCCAACTGCAGACAGTACCACTCATGCACTGTATGTAGGTAGCTCTTTCGAACAACCTCTTGACCCAGTAGTTACAAGAAAGTCGTTTTAACTATATCCATTCCACCATGAGTGTGAAAATATGCACAATTCCAAAGGTATACCTATGCTCATGTGTAGTTACAGTTATAACTGTAAATGAATTCCAGATATCTTTTGGTTGAGACTCAATTTATACAAGGGAAAAACTGAAATCCCGAGTAGCCAAGTACTTTCCCCAAGGTGGCAAACCATACTTGAACTAGAACTCAGTTCTACTGATTCCTGAAGTCCAGTGTTCTCCCCAGCATAAGGCACTGACTCATTCAGTCCTAGTTTCTTCCTCTCTCCTAGAAATTGTACCTCTTAATTGGCATCTCGGTATCTCTTAATGTTGGTCTACATATCTATGTGCCTCCATCAAAGAACACACCTGAGTACGTGTCTATCTGCAAGTATTTATAAAGCATATCTTCAGGTGTTTATGCCCCTTCTGGTAGGGAAAGCTCTAGATAATGACAGTACTCAAAGTTGGCATCAGCAGTGAAGTCGGGGCAGACCTTCAAAGTCAATGATTAATAAGCAGATTTGGCTCTTTCTCCAATCAACTCTATTCCTGGATCTTTGGGAAACAAGGCAAAATTGTCAGGGTAGAACCAGATAGTCAGAGTGAAACTTGGTTCCAGGACAGTAAAAGCAACCAAGACGCAAAACTGTAAGGAGCTATGACGGAGTGACAGTGGGCTGTAGGCAATAAGTGCTCATGAGCTCGGGTTGGCATGGATATCATCTTAGTCTTCAGTCTAATCATTGCATCGTATGATTCCAACAAGATCGGTAAGTACTTCTCCAGCCTAATAGGTTGGAACACCCAAAAAGAAGCCTAGAAAGCATTTGGAGCCTCTTCCATCAGATAGGGATATAGTCAATACCCAACAAGTTGTACTTTGCAGAAATTACCCCATACATATGATCATTAAGCCCAAGGAGACATTTGTTTCTTTCGAAGTCTTCAGGAAATGTGGTGCCTTTTTTTCCCCTGACATAGTCAGTGAGCTTTCATTATGAGATGGTACCAGTTTGTAATTAGCCTCACTTTGGGCTCTCAAATTCATAACCCCTCATAAGATGTTGTTTTCACTTTTAAGGTGGTACATTCAAATAGTTTAAATGGAGATGTTAATGGGGGAGAGCTAAGGGAAAGGTGATATGGGGTGGAATGACACTGTTTGTTACTCTTTGGTAATCGTTGATTGACTTGAGCTATTTTGTTTGTTTTGAGGCTTGAAAGCCAGCTTCAGGATGCTAGGCAAGTGCTCGGCCATTGACTGAGCTCTGCCCTCAACCCTGGTAGTAAATGTTTATTTAAACTACCTTTTTTCAGAGTTCACTTAACATTTCTACTCCAAAACAGCTAGCTGGAGGTTAAGAAAAATAGTATAAGGTGTAGCAGTACCATGCTTATGCAAATTAAGAAAATTAACACCTGTGACCCAAGCTCTTGAAAGATGGCTGCAGGAGGATTGCCATCAGAAAAAGAGTCAGTCTGGACTACAGAGTGAGATACCCTCCTTCCCCTCCTCTTCCCTCTCCTCCTCCTCCTCTTTTTGCGGCTGAAGCTAGATGTGGTAGAGAATGCTTTTTAAATTTTCTTATTGGTCTGTATGTATGTCTGTGTACCACATGTGTGCTGGGTGCCATTGGAGGGAGGGAAAAAGCACCAGATGCCCTGGAAGTGGAGTTAAGAATAGTTGTGGACCACCATGTAGGAGCTTGGAATTAAAATCTTGTCTTCTGCAAGAGCAGCCAGTGCCCTTAACTACTGAGCCAGTTCTCTAGCTACTAGAGGATGCTTTTAATCTCAGCACTTGGAAGGCAGGGGCAAGTATCTCTCTGAATTCAAGGCCAGCCTAGTTCACATAGCTAGTTCCAGGCCAGCTAGAGCTACATAGTGAGACTCTATCTCAAAAAGAAAAAAAGAAAAAAAAAAAGAAAAAGAAAGAAAAGAAAAGCTGAGAAAGAAAATTCCCACAGCCTGTGAGTCATGTACTACAAAAGCATAAATGTGGTCTATAGCTCTGTGGAAATCTATAGAGAGCCTATATCCAAAGGAGGACATAATAAACCTTCAAGGTTCTCTCCTTAATACAGTAAGCAGAAGTTGAGCAGTGATGGCAGGTGGATCTCTGAATTCAAGGCCATCCTGATCTACAGAACAAGTTCCAGGACCTCCAGGATTACACAGAGAAACCCTGTCTTGATCTATATAATATATAGTATATATCAGGAAGATAGAACAGGAGAGAGCAATGAAAATAAACTGTTTAAAGAGAATAGGTGGGTTATTCTTTCATTAACTTAGCAATCTCTTTTCTTTCAGAATGAATACATTGGTAGCCATTTTTCTCTGTGATGGGGCAATCCTACTTAAATGTATTTGGCCTTGTGTTTTAAAATCTTTTTTAGGGAGTATTTGATCTTCGAAGTTCTATGTTTTTTAGGCAGGAACTTTGTCTCTTTCCCATCTCAGAATTCTAAACAGAGAGGACATAGTACATCCTGACCTTTTTTTTTCCTTCCTAGACCCCAGAGCGAGCAGCTGCCAAGTGGAACAGCTGCCCAGCCTCTTCCCAAAGGATGTGAGAAGCCACAAGGATTTGGTTATAAGAGGTAGGGAATAGGTGTCTTTCTGGAAAATCCCTTTGCCATCCCAGGATTTTGTTTTTGGGGGTGGGGGTTCGAGACAGGGTTTCTCTGTGTAGCTTTGGAGCCTATCCTGGCACTCGCTCTGGAGACCAGGCTGGCCTCAAACTCACAGAGATCCGCCTGCTCCGCCTGCCTCTGCCTCCCGAGTGCTGGGATTAAAGGTGTGCGCCACCAAAGCCCGGCAGGATTTTTTTAAATTATCATTCATTAATTGTGTATACATGAATATAACATATTTCAAACCATCATTATCCTCTCCTGTCACACAGTCCCCTGCCTTTATTCTTCACTTTTTTTATATTTTGTTTTATTTTATTAGTTCAAATTAGGAACAAGCTTGCTTCAGATGTCAATCCCTTCTCCCTCTTCTTCCCCTCCCCCCCAACATCCCACCTGCCCCTAGCCATCCCCCCTCTACTCCCCAGACAGGAAAGTTTTTTTTTTAAACTTAAAAAAAAAATGCCTTTTAGGGACTGGAGCGGTGACTCAGCAGTTAAGAGCACTAGAGGACCCAGGTTCAATTCCCAGTACCCACATGGCAGCTCACAACTGTCTATAACTCCAGTTCCAGGGGATATGCATATGCATGCAGGCAAAATACCCATACACATGAAATAAAATAAATTTTAAAAATGCCTTTTCTCTACACTTCTTAATCCAGATCTCAGATATACTCTTTTAAAGATATATATCTCCTCAGGAGAATGACTGGAAATAAATTTCTATATCAACTTGTTGCCTAAAGTATGACTATGTAAATCAGGTGGGGATGAAGAAAGAGAAGGAATGGCACGCAGCCCTCCCTGCATTTAAGAAATCATTCTATGAGCATTTCTCTGTGCTGGATTTACTGCAGTCGCTTATCTTCATGGCTCCTTGCAGGAAGAAAAGCAGAACCTGCACAGTTACTACCATAAACACAGACCAGGGAGGAGGTGAGCCAGAGGAGGGCAAAGTGCAGCCGTGGAGTTTAACAGGCATCATGAATGAAAGTGGGTTATCTGCACAATATGTGACTAAGAACCAGCTTTGTTTTTCTGTTTAGTTCTCCCAGAAAGTCACACAGATATCAAAGGGGCCCCGTCCATCCAACATCAGACTATAACTACCCTGCAGTGCCTCCACTCTGGGAGGAGAGTGAGAGTCCACCTTGTACATTCAGAGAGAAGGCCAAAGGTCAAGTATATGCTGAAGAACCTGAGAGTCCATGCTGATCTCCATAGAAACAGCACGGCCTCCCCACGTTGTCACCTCATGCCCACTTCCCAGTTTCAGAATGGATCCCTTCTAACAGGTAAAGTGAGATCAAAGAGCTGATAGAGGTAGGTTGAAGCTTTCAGGTGACATCCTTGGTGGCCAGTGTTTATTAGCAGTCAAAGTCACAGTGAAACATACTGTTCTCCCCTTGGGAAAAATCAGTGTCCTCTCTGATTTCTAATTTCTTTAACAATAATTTAAAATGTTATTTATATGTTTGTTTAGTGTGTGTGTGTGTGTGTGTGTGTGTGTGTGTGTGTGTGTGTGTTTTTTCCTATCGGTGTGATTGTGGACTTGTATGGAGGTGAGAGGACAACTGAGGACACCTCCAGCAGTCAGACTACATAGGTTTGGTGGCAAATGCCCTATCTCTGACCCACTTCACTGACCCAAGCCCCACATTTCTAATTTTTAAGACTCCTTTTAGCCCTAGTGTCCTGGGATATTCATAAAATCTGAAAAACTTTTGAGCCAGGAGGTGATACATGCCTTTAGTCCCAGCACTCAGGAGGCAGAGGCAGGTAGATCTCTGTGAGTTTGAGGCCAGCCTGGTCTACAAAGTGAGTTCCCAGGACAGACTCTAAAGACTCAAACTTACATTAATCTATTTGCTTCTGCCGGCTGAGTGCTGGAATTAAATCCATTCACCACTATGCCTAGCTGGTCTTCATTTCTAATGGGTGGATCGTCTTCTTCCTCTTCTTTTGTTTTTCAAGACAGGATTTCTCTATGTAATAGACCAGGCTGTCCAGGGATTAAAGGTGTGTGCCACTTCCATGGTGGATGTGTCTTCTTTTTAACAATAGTTGCAGCCAGGCCTGGAGCACACATCTTTAATCCCACCACTCTGGAGGCAGAGGCAGAGAAGCTCTGTGAGTTTGAGGCCAGCCAGTTCTACAGAGTGATTTTCAGAATAGTTAGAACTATAGCTGAGGAGCTGCTCTTCCAGAGGTCCTGAGTTCAATTCCTAGCAACCACATGTTCGCTCACAACCATCTATAATGAAATCTGGTTCCCTCTTCTGGCAGAACATTGTATGCATAATAAATAAATATTTTTTTAAAAAAAGTACTATAGCTGAACAAAAATAAAAAAACAATATTTTGTGAATTTTGTTTACTTTTAGTGCACACAGTGAAATATACAAACAGCACATATTTATAGTGAAAAGTAATCCTCCCTCCTACTCCTGTCTCTCAGTCCTCTAGTTCTTTGTCCCTGAGGATAGAAGGAACCACTATTACCTACTGTATTTCCTTCCAAAGACAGCACAAATAGGTGTGCATATATCCCCCCACCTTCAGACAAGGTCTCTTGTTGCCCAGGATGGCCTCTAGCTTGCTGGATACCTAGCCTTGAACTCCTGAAACTCCTCCCTCTACCCCCAAGCGCTGGAATTACTGGCATAAGATGTCACATCTAGCTCATTAGCATATGTGAAAAGCATAGGCAGTACCACACCATATACCCTGCTCTTCACCTTGATTTTCCACATGCATGGGTTTGTCCTATGTCCATATTCATAAATTTGACTCCTGGGTTGTGAGTTGTAGAATATTGAATCCAAGGCCTTGAACATGCTAAGCACATGTCCTGTTTCTGAGCATATTATGTCACCAGCCCTACCTCGTTCTTAATGGTATTCAACTAAACTGCAATTTATTTCCCTAGTTCTCCACTGGTGGGAATTTTGGTTTTGTTTTGTTTTTTTTTTTTTCATTCTTTTACTAATACAAACAATGACCTTTTACAGTCCCCTAATGTATCTGCTATTTAACAAGAAAATGAATTCTGAGAAGCAGAACTGTCACTTTGACATCGGATAGCTGGGGCTCAGTTAGCTCCCACATAGGTGGTTCCAACTTTCATTCCTGTCTACACTGTGAAACTACTTGTTCCCCATAAGCAGTAGTTCTTGATCTCAAATTCTGCCATCCTTTTTCTTCTCTTACACATTCTTTCTGTCAAAAAGTTTCTGATCAGTAGATTAGCATACAACTCTCCCTTTGCACAAGGCAGGCATTTAGACTCTGCTGCTAGATGGTTGGAAAATAACACTCTGCTTAGAGAAACCTAAGATGTAGAGAAACTACATCTTAGGGATGTAGAAGGATCAAAGGAAGAATGATGAAGAAATACACTTTCTTTGTTTTGTTTTTCAAGACAGGGTTTCTGTGTGTAGGTAGCCCTAGCAGTCCAGGAACTAGCTCTGCAGCCCAGGCTGGTCTCAAACTCACAGAGAAGAAATAAACTTTTAAAATCTAGACTATAGATAAGAAATAAGGGGACAAACATTCTCTGGGGATAAGGCCCAAGAACAGTAAATTATTTATTCTTACATGACTTGAATGTTTCAGTCACTTTATCAGACTTTATCACTTTATCACTTTATTTTTTAAATTTATTTAAAAAATTCTAGCACTAAAAGCCAGGCATGGTGGGGCACACCTGTAATCCCATTATACAACACTGATTTTGAAGATAGCTTGGGCTATGAGGTCCTATATCAAAAAGAATGGAAGGAAAGAAAGACATAAGGAAGGAAGATTAATTGGTTAATTAATCCCATCATAAAACATGTTGATTTTGAAGACAGCTTGGGCTACATGAGGTCCTGGAAAGAGAGAGGAGAGAGAGAGAGAGAGAGACAGAGACAGAGACAAACAGAGAGACAGAGAGGGGGGGAGAAGAGAGAGAAGGAGAGAAAGAAAGATTAATTAGTTAATTAAACCACTGGGAGGGCTCTTAAAATGGGAAAATTACTCAATATCAATTCATTTGGACCTCTTACCATGTGACAGCCTGCTTGAACCAACCACAATACTGGCCTTAGTCATTTTACAGTCAGCAGTTCTCTGAGTGGTACTATATCATGGCATGCACTGTGGAATCTGAGATAAATAAGGACATTAGCTGTCAGAAATTCTGAATCAGGAAAACTGGGGGGTTAAGGGAGAGGAAAGTTGCCAAAGATCAGCCTGCCCTATTGAAAATGTTTGCCTTAGGGTGACCTCCAGGCTTTGAGCTCTTTCCAAGAGGAAGAGTCTTCCTCCTTCTCCTGGATACTTGCTCAAGGCAAAGGTTCTGAGATCCAGAATCTGAGGCAGCACCCTATTTGATTTGAGTCATGTAAAGAGGCCAAATGAGCCAGGCAATGGTGGCACACGCCTTTAATCCCAGCACTCGGGGAGGCAGAGGCTGGTGGATCTCTGTGAGTTCGAGACCAGCCTGGTCTACAAGAGCTAGTTCCAGGACAGCCTCCAAAGCCACAGAAAAAACCTGTCCATAAAATGTAGAAAAAAAAAAAAAAAAAAAAAAAAAAAACTTAAGACAGGGGTTGAAGCTATAGCTCAGTTGATAAAAGTACATGCCTAAGTTGCTTTTCTCACAGCAACATAAAGGGACCTGGGGCAATCAGTTAACAATACAGTTTCTATTTCCTGTTCCTATTGCTCAGATTTTATATTTAGAAGCTTTCCAGTTACCCATCAGGTTTCCTAGAGACCTATCTGTTTTTAATAGGACAGAAGAATGTTTGATTTTTGTTTTGTCTTTTCAAGACTGGCTCTCAGGTACACGACTCACTATGTATTTGAGGATAAGCTTGAACTACTGAGTATCCTGCCTCCACCTCCTGAGTGCCGAGATTACAAGTGCGCACTACCACACACAGCTGTTTCATCCATTTAACAAATATTTTCTACTTTGTTTTTTGCAACAGTCTCACTATATAGCCTTGGCTGGCTTAGAACTCACTTTGTAGACCAAGCTGGACTCAAACTCACACAGATCCACTTCTGCCTTCAGTGCTAGGATTAAAGGTGTGTCCAACCACTTCTGCAAGTATTTTCTTGTGTGACTTTTTTTCTTTCTTCTTTTGGTTTTTTGAGACAGGGTTTCCCTGTGTAGCCATGGCCGTCCTGGAGCTCACTATGTATACTAGACTGCCCTCAAACTCACAGAAATTGACACAGAAATGACACCCTATTTAAATATATTTATTTATTTATTTATTATATGGTGTATTGCCTCCATGTACGCCTGCACTGCATGCCAAAAGAGGGCACCAGATCTCATTATAGATGGTTGTGAGCCACCATGTAGTTGCTGGGAACTGAACTCAGGACCTCTTCAAGTGCTCTTGATCACTGAGCTATATAGTTAGGATCTCTCCAGCCCCTAAATAAAATGCATTTATCTAGACTTGGTGGTATATGCTGCAATCCCATCACTTGGGAAACAAAGGCAGGGAGACAGGAAGTTTGAAAGCAGCCTAGCTATATATATATAACAATACATAGCTAGTTCAAGTTTAACTTGGTCTACATAACCAGATCCTATCTCAAAATTCAACCAAACAAAAGTTATATTAAGTTTATATGATAATGGATTAAATATAATGCATTTAATTTTATTTATTTAAAAATTAGTTCATAAAGCAGGGCAGTGGTAGTGCACACCTTTAGTCCCAGCACTCAAGAGGCAGAGGCAGGGGGGACTCTGTGAGGTCAAAGCCCGACTGGGCTCCCGAGCGAGGGGCCGGGGAGGGCCCCAAAGCACACCAAAAAAACCCCCTTTTACAGGGGCAGAGGCAGGTGGATCTCTGTGAGTTCGAGACCAGCCTGGTCTACAAGAGCTAGTTCCAGGAATGCTTCCAAAGCCACAGAGAAACCCTATCTGGAAAAGCCAAAAAGAAGAAGGAGGAGGAGGAAGAGGAAAAGAAGGAGAAGAAAGAATTCCATAAAGCTAGATTTTTAAAAACAAAACTCCTTTAAAAAGTCTAACTATGCAGCCCTCATTTGCCTAGAATTCTGTATATAAACCAGACTGACCTTGAACTCCTGATTGTGCTCTAGAACACTGGGATTAAAAGTGAGTACCACCATGCCCAGCAAACTGGGATGTTCTTGTGGGTTTTTAGGCAGGGTCTCATTCTGTGACCCTAGGAAGCATGAAACTTTTAAGTAAACCAGGCTGATCTCAACTTGCATTGAACTTCCTGCTTCTGCCTTCCAGGTGCTGGAGTTAAGAGGTATATGCATCATGCCTGCCTTAAATTGGGGCATTCTTGCTCAAATACCTTTTTTTTAAAAAAGATTTTTATTTATTACATATACAATCTTCTGCTTGCATGACAGGAGAAGGCACCAGATCTCATTCAAGGTAGTTGTGAGCCACCATGTGGTTGCCGGGAATTGAACTCAGGACCTCTGGTCTTCCAGAGGTCAGTGCTCTTAACCGCTGAGCCATCTCTCCAGCCCGCTCAAATACCTTTAGCCAAAGAAAAACTAATGTTGCAATCCCATAATCAATGGAAATAAAGTACTTTTTTTTTTTTTTTTGAGACAGGGCTGTTCTCTGTACAACCCAGGCTGTTCTCGAACTCACTCTGTATTGCCTTGAACTCAGAGATCTGCCTGCCTCTGCCTCCCAAGTACTGGGATTAAAGGTGTGTGCCACCACCACCCAGTAGAAACAAAATATATTTCAAACCTGTTCTACCTTGATGTTAAGTTACCTCAGAGGTAAGATTTGAAAGAGATGAGCTGCCAACATGGCTGAACATTGATTCAGAGGACTGAAAGTACACTGACAGATGAAGCCTATTCAGTAGACTTTGAAGTCAAGTTTCTCAGCAGGTGGGGATACAGGCCATATGTCTCTAAGCCATTATCCCTCTGACTACCAGACAGAATTCTGTTTAAAAAGACAGTTTCTAGGCTTTCCCTTATCTTTCAATCCCAGTTCACTCAGCTTGCAAAGTGTTTCCACATCTGCTTTTTAATTTTTATTTGTTTCTCAACCTTATAACACCTCTGAGAAATAGATAACAGCAAGTATTTTTTTTAATGACCATATTACAAACAGGGAAGCCAAAACTCAGAAATCATGTAACTTGTCCAAACTGAGTTTTGCTTATCTTCAGATATGCATGTTACCGTTTAAGAGAACTAACTGACTGGAGCCAGGCCTGGTGGCCAACACTGTCTCCCAGTTATACTGAAACCAAGGATCACTGTTTCTCCTGTAATTTGTTCTATGATGACTGGTATTGAAAGCTGCCAAAGCCTGATTGTTCCCCTCTATACAACTATTAAACCTGTCATCCTATTGTTTTCCTTGTCATGTTGTTCAATATCTCTGTTGACAATTTAAAAGGATTTAAGATGTGTAAAGAATAATTTAGAGCTAGGTAGTGGTTGCACACACCTTTAATCATAGAACCTGGGAAGCAAAGGCAGGAGGATCTCTGTGAGTTCAAGGCCAGCCTGGTCTACAGAGCAAGTTCCAGGAAAGCCAGGGCTACACAGAGAAATCCTGTTTCAAAAAAAAAAAAAAAAAAAAAAGAGCAATTTAAAAAAAAAAGTAAGAAACAATGCAACATGGAATAAGGGCCCATAATATGACTCCGGAGGTGAAGATGCTTGCTGCCCAAAGATCTAAACCTGACTACTGAGTTTGAACTCTAGCACCCAAATAAACATAGAAGGAGAGAACCACCTTTCTAAAGTTGTCCTCTGACTTCCACATGGACACCCTGGCATGCACACCCCCCTCAGTAAATAATACAATTTCAAATGGAATAAAAGACTAGATTTGGTGGCATACCTAGAACCTAGGAGTTGGGAAGACAGGAGTCTCACTTCATGTTTGAGGCCAGTCTGGCTATGTAGTGAGTTTGATGCTAGTATGGGCTACAAAGTCACACTTTTTTTTTTTTAAATAAAAAAGGGGTGAGTGAGGGTTTGGAGACGAATCGTCACCACCGTCTGAATTGGATTAGGTCTATTCTGCAAGCAGGTGGAGTTGGTTGCAGACTACAGCAAGAATTCATCAGCTCTTCCTCACTTCCATCCCTAGCTGAATCTCCTCACCTCTCATCTGCTGTCTACAAAATCTACTGCCACCACCAGGTCATTATGCCTCTACCTTTGTCCCACAATGGTCCATGTCTAACACAGCAGTCCAGTGAGTGGTCAATTAAAATGAAGCTTAGCTGGGCATGGTGGCTCACACCTGCAATCCTAGCACTTAAGAAGCTGAAGCAGGACTGCTAGGCTAAGCTACAGCGTGAGACTCTGTCTCAAAAAAAAACAAAAAACAAAAAAAACAACAACAAAAAAAAAAGGAATAATCCCTGCCCACAAAAGGTCAATCTTAATCAAAACCTTGCAACAGATCCTTATCTCCAAAGCCCTGAACTTGGCACACAGAGCCTAGATCTCTGTATCCTCTCAATCCTCATCCCCTCCCTTGCTCCTCCTTGCTGGTTATTGGCTGCCTCACAACTTCCCTACAACTGTAACCTTCAGACATACTTTGAGTCGGGGGCTTTATTACCACTGTCCCCTCTGTCTAAGTTACTTCCCTCAAGTGTTGGCTCTGTTCTAACCTCAGAGAGACTTGGCCTATACTACAGGTTGCCCAACTATTACCTATGAACCTCAAACTAAGTTATCTTGCAAGAATTTTTTGTTTTTGTTTGTTTGGTTGGTTGGATTCTTGTTTTTTTGTTTGTTTTGTTTTTTGTTTTTGAGACAGGGTTTCTCTGTGTAGCCCTGGCTGTCCTGGAACTTGCTCTATAGACCAGGCTATCCTCAAACTCAGAGATCCTCCTGCCTCTGCTGGGATTAAAGGCATGCACCACCACTAACTGGCTGGTTTGGGTTTTTAAAGATTTAATTTTTAATTTGTGTGTGTCTGCCTGCATGTATGTATGTGTATTACACATATATGGATGCTAACAGAGGCTAGATGAGGGCATTGAATGCCCTGGAACTGACATTATAAGTGCTTATGAGTGGCTTGATGTGGTGCTGGGAATCAAACCTAGGTCCTCTGCAAAAGCAGCAAGTGTTCTTAACCACTAAGCCATCTCTCCCATTTCTGATCTTGGCTTTTAAGACAGAGTCTCACATTATGTAGCTCAGACTGGCTAGGAACTCACTAGTTAGCCAGGATAGCTTTGAACTCTTGGTAATCCTCTAACTCAGCCTCACCAATGCTGGGGTTACAGGTATGAGCTACCATAACTGCTTCTTGTTCTAGATCAATCAATTGATGGATTGATTGACTGACTGACTGACTGACTGACTGACTGACTGACTGACTGGCTGACTGACTGACTGGTGTTATTGAGAGTATCTCCTTGTGGCACTGGCTATCTTGGAATTCACTATGTAGACCAGGCTGACCTCTGCTTCCTGAGTGCTGTGATCAAAGGCATGTGCCACTATGCCCAGCTCTAATTTTAAGTATCACTTACCCTAATATATAATAACTTTTTGTTTTATTTTTTGAGGTGGGGTCCCCTGCTATTTAGCTGTGGCAGGCTTGGACTCATTGTGCAGCCCATGTGGGCCTTGAACTTAAAGTTATCTTCCTGTCTCGGTCTCCTGAATGCTGGGACTATAGGCAAGTGCCTCTACACCCAGCCATAAAATATATGATAGTCATTGTTGTCTCTGCTTCATGTGCCCTGACCTTTTTGTTTGTTCTTTTGTTCTTATGAATCCAACTGATATAAAATACTGAAGCAGTGCCTGGCATATAATAGACACTGGGTTTTGAACATTAAATGAATGGAACTGAGGAGAACACGAAGCTGGGTGCCTTTCCGTTTTCTAGTTCCTCTTGCTCTCCCCACTGTCTTCTCAGAGGAGTTGACAGGCTCCAATAAACAGACCTGCAGCAGTCATTCAGGCAAATGAATTTCATGTTCTTCCCTGGACTTTGCAACCACCTCTATTAATGAATGAAAATCTCAGTTGTGTTACACCCTCCACCTTTAATATTATTATTGTGACATCAAGAAGGATAGGCAAGCAAGATATGGTTCATTCCTTCCCTCTGATTATAGTCAAAGGACTCCTGGGGATCTTATCTGTATCTCTTCTTTGTATCCCTGGCCTATTTATTCCTGGCATTATTCTGTGCCTACCCCTAACACCTACGAACATACAGGTCAGTGGGGTCACAGTTAGAAATGTAGTATGAAGTGAGTAGAGCTAGGATTTTGTCAGGTAAAACCAAAGCAGGACGATGTTGTCCCACTGTTGTCCATCTGTTGCTTCCTTTTGTTTTATAGCTTTCTTACCAGGGATCTCTCAATGCAAGATCTACCCAGTGAAAGCCAGATCTGCTTCATCAGAGATGGTGCCCATCACTACCACCTCCATAACTCTTAGAAGTAAAGGAGAGAGAACTACAAGCACTGAGGACTTTTCCAGCCCTTTGTCACAAGGTACAAACTAAGTAGAGGAGGTAAAGCAAGACTAGGAAAAAAAAGAGACATTTTAGCTACAATATTATTCTATGTCTCCTAGGACTTTCTTAGAGGCTGAGAAATCATTTTATATTAAAAAATGATTCCATGTTTTAATAGGGGGAAAATCCATAAGAAAGTTCCCAGAAACATCTGTAGTTTGGCACAATCAATAATCCTTTAGATTAGATACCTTGTGGAGGACCCCGCTTCAGATCCTAACACCAACATCAGGTATCTCACACAAACACCTGGAACTCTAGTTCCAAAGGATCTGATGCCCTCTGGTCCCTATGGGTTCCTTCATGTACACAGTGTACATAAAGTCACGAAACAGATACGCAGACACACATGCATGCAAGCACACACAGACACACACACACACACACACACACACACACATCTTTAAAATGGTAATCCCTTACCCCATGAAGGGTGAACTCACCCTGTAGCCAAATTTGAAAATGGACTAAATTCAACTAGTACATGAAACCAGCTGTGTGTGTGTGTGTGTGTGTGTGTGTGTGTGTGTTCGAGCGCATGCTCGAGAGGGTGCCTATGTGTGTGTTAACAGAGATGACACCAACCAACCATATGTTTTCATCTTCACTGTCTTTAAAAACAGCCCTTCCTAAATTGGCCAAGACTCAAACTGTGTAAGATGCAAGTTTGGGTTATATCCCAGGTTCATAGCAGTGGAAAAGTAAATGAGATTAGTAATAACATAATAGATATGAGCCTTCTGCCCTGGATTTGGCTTATGATTCAAAAGCAATAACAATTCACCTTTGTTCTTCCTATACCATCCTAAAACCAAGACAGGAAAGGCAATTTTTGTTTTGTTTCTTTTTGATACATGGTCTCACTATGTAGCTCTAGCTACCCTGGAACTCATTAAATAGATCAGGCTGACCTTGGATTTAGAGACTTGCCTGCCTCTGTCTCCTGAGTGCTAGGATGAAAGGCATGTGCCACTAGGCATGAATAAAGGGGATTTCTGTGTGCCTGTTTGTATTTGTTTTTCTTTTTCAGTGCTAGTGATGGAGATATGATTTTGTTTTAAGGTTGGGAACATCAAGAAGACTGACTGGGAACAATCGGTTAAGCACCACTTGTGCACCCAAGCCTTTTCTTCTTAAGAACAGTACAAGAGTCAGCATGCATGACTATGGAGAATCCCAAATTCTAGGGAAGGTGGCTCATTCATGAAAGAGGCTAGTAAGAGTTCATGCTGCCACCCCCACTTGATTCTGAGCCCTGGGTGGAAATCCAGTCTCTGTTTGAGTCCGATGTCCCTGACTAGTCTAAGCAAGGAGAACTTGTCGTCAAGGTGAGCTCTGCTCACGTCCTCTTTTCTCTGCCTCTGTACCTTTTTCAGACGTAGATGTGCACTTAAAGAAGAGGCAGAAATGGAGCATTGTCATCAAAGCTCTTATTGCTGCCACTCTGCTGCTCAGTGGAGTCATCATTATAGTATTTGTCATCTTTGAAGTCCCATGCCCAGTAAGTTTGCTGATGTATATTAATGAACCGAGTCCCTGGCTTGATCAATAAAGACTGCTTTCTGTTGGAAACACAGCATAGCATAAGGAAGGCAAACACTAGCTGAGTGATTTGTGGAAAGTTGCTTTATGTCTCCATTCTACAGCTGCCTTTTCTGTAAAAATAGATGTTGCTTTGCTTGTGGCTGTGGAAGTTAACCAGGATCCCGTTTGAGAGGCACATAGTACATCAAAGGTGCTCTCTTAATGTGAACTTCTAGGAAGTGTTCTAGTGTCTTCTTAGAGATGAACACTTTTTACTAGAATTCTAACACTTGGAAGGCGGGGAGCAGACCAGGAATTCCAGGTTGGCCTTGCCTATATTGCAAACTTGAAGCCAGTCAGGTTACACGAGAGAAAGAAAGGTAGAAGAGGGGAGTATAAGAAAAAGTATTATGTTTTTTAAATGGCTTGACATTGTATTAACCACTGAAATGATAACCAGCCATTCTCTCTTCAGAGTCCATGCCTCAGAGTCAGAAGGCTGTGCCAATGCCTATGGTTATGGAGAAGGGAAAGGAAGGAAGATCAGCAACCTGGGACAACTGAGTCCCAGTTGGGGTCTCAGCCTGAGAAGGGAAGTATTCTCTGTATAGTTTATACCATTTGTTTAGGCAAAACAGTGTTAACCTGTAGTTGCAGACAAGTTGTCAAATGCTTCAGTTGTAAAGTAAATGTGATGAATTATTCTGTGAAAAAAAACTGGCCAGATATGATACCACACAACTTAATCCCAACACTCAGGAGGTAGAAGCAGAGACAGGCAGATCTTTACAAGTTCAGGCCATCTTGGTATACATAGTGAGTTCCAGGATGACCAACAAACAAACAACAAAGCTAAAACCACATTGTTATTTGGCTGAGTCCGGTAGTATATACCTATAATACTAGCACGATGGAGGTGGAGGAAGAATCAACAGTTGAAGGTCAGCCTCAGCTTCAGCTACATTGGAAGTCTGGGGCTGCCCTGGGCTAGAGGGGATACCTTCTAAACAAAAACAAATAAAAAATAATAAGAAGAAAGCGAGACAGAGACATGCAGGGGGTGGGAGAGAAGTTGGAGAGACAGAAAATATGTATTCTGGGACCCAGATGCACCGAATCAGAATGTCTAATGTCTAGAGTGGGACCAGGGACCTTTATTATCAGTACTATTTTTCAGATGGGTTCCCACTATCTTGCCCAGACTAGCCTTAATTTTTTTTTTTTTTTACTGCAAGTTATCCTCCTGTCTCAACTTTCCAAGAAGCTTGGACTGCAGGTTTATGCTACTGCCATGCTCATCTTATTATTAAAAATTTTAATAAGCTCCCTAAGGGAGCTAGAGCGGTGGCTCAGAAGAGCCACTTAGCACCCACAAAGGGTGGCTCACAACTACATTGTAACTCCAGTCCCATGGGTTACAATGCCTTCTTCTGGTCTCCTTGGGTACACATATGGTATACACACAGGCAAGCAGCCACCTATATGTAAAATAAGTTTAAAACAATTCCTATAAGCAGAGGTGGATTTATTGTGAAATTACTAATACTTCAGGTCCCATGGACCTTGACCCTGGCTGTCCTGGAACTTACCCTGTAGACCAGGCTGTCCTGGAACTCAGAGGTCCACCTGCCTCTGCCTCCTGAGTGCTGGAATTAAAGGTGTGTGCCCTTTCTTTAGGCAGGTTTCTCCTAATTGTAATTAGGTAATTCTCAGATACAGCAATGTTTAGGATCCACTGCACTTCAACCTAGTTTAAAGACTTGGCAAAGCAACTTTCTTTTTCTTTATCTTTGGGTTTCCTGACAAGGTTACAAATAGTGCCTTTTGGTGTCTGAGCTGTCACTATAGGGCTGATTCACCAGACTGCCTTTAATCCAGACCCCAAGCCAGGTTAGACTCAGCTTTGGGATAGTAGAAAGTGATAAATGGGCACTTTCCCTAAGACATCCAGACACTCACTAAGGTCAGCAGACAAGGTTTCCACTGACCTAGTTCAAAGCCTCAGTCCAGGCACCACAGTTAGACTGTCTCAAAAACAAAGTAAACCATCAAACAGACCCACAAACTAAACTAAACAAGGTGTCCATTTTTGTAGAATTATAGTATTGAGAACTGGTCTCAGAGATGACATAGTTAATGGGTTTGATCCCCCATCACAATCACCAACACACACACACACACACACACACACACACACAGTGTCATATGATACACATGCTGCTATTCTTTTCAAGCCTTATCAACTGTACAGAATAGTAACCAAGAACAGTACCTGCAGCATGGCAACAGACTCTTTCTTATCACAGTACTCAGTCAAGTGAACTTATTTGTCCTCTTGGAGCTAAGTTAGTATTTTCTAATTTTATGAATATGGATTTTGCCAATACATATGTATGAGCACCAAGTTCATGGCTGGTGGCCATGGAGGCCAAAAGAGGTGTAAGATCCCTGAAACTGGGATTACAAATGGTTGTGAGTCATCATGTGGGTTCTGGGTATCAAACCTGGGTCCCCTGGAAGAGCAGCCAGTGCTCTTAACCACTGAGCCATCTCTCCAGTCCTTACCATAACACTTCTATAATCCTGATTCTTCAAATAGTAGATGATGGATTCGTATTTTTAGATTTTTTACTCCAATCAGCATAGTCATTTCTACTGAACATTAAAAGAAACAGGCTTGGTCAGGTGTGATTACACAGGCCTTTAATTCCAGCACTTGGGAGGCAGAGGCAGGTGAATCTCTATGAGTTCAAGACCAGTCTGGTCTACAGAGTAAGTTTCGGGACAGCCAGGTCTACACAGAGAAATCCTGTCTCAGAAAACAAAACAAAACAAAACAAAAAAACAAAGCAAAATGCCTCTAGAACTGGCATTGTGGCACATACCTGCAATCCTAGCACTTTGGATGTAGAAGCAGGAGGGTCAAGAATTCAAGGCCAGCGTGGGCTACAAGAGGCCTTATCTCAAAAATAAACAAGGTAAAAACAAAACAAAAGTTAGTACATGGTGGTACATGCCTGAAATCCAGCACTTGGAGACTAAGGCAGGAGGACTGACACAAAATCAAGGCCAGCCTGGTCTATAAAGTAAGTTCTAAGCAGCCAAGTTTACTTAGTGAAATCCCATCTAAAAGGGGTGGGGTTGCCAGAGAGATGGCTCAGTGGTTAGGAGTACTTGTTGTTCTTCCAAAGGACCAGGATTTGATTCTTAGCACCCACATGGTGGCCCACAACTGTAACTCCAGTTGCAAGGGTTCCACCACCCTCTTCTGGCCTCTTCAGGCATCAAGCATACACACGGTGCATATACATACATACAAGCAAAATACCTATAAACAAAATTAAAACAAAACGGTGTTATGTTCATAATAGCTGGGCATTCAGAAAGTGCATACAAAATTTGATAGGACATAAATTCAAACACAGTAAGGGAGGAAATGGGTTATTTGAAATATTTAAGCCAAGTGTGTGCCAAGGCTTCAAGGATTGGCCTAACTGGGTGATGAGGGAGTGAAAAAAGGACAGACATACAGACATATGTAGAGAAAGACTGGGATCATCTGGGCTATGCTCATTCTGATGGAGAGAGCACCAACTGCTGCCCAGAACATCTGCTCATTTATTTTACACACCTGGATGAAGGGGGCATGTTTATTGTCTACAGCCAAATAAAGAAGTGGGCTCACGGTCTTTATTTGGAGGCCGGGTTAGCTCATGCCATAGGAAGTCTGTGGAGGGGAGGAGTCCCAGGCTGCAGTCATCCAGGAGGATGAAGCTGTGGTTTCTAGTTGTTGCACACACAAGGCAATCATTTGTAAACATTGTTACTTGGACCAGATGAAGGCTTTGCCAATTCTCTGAGCCTCACCAGGGAAGGCTTCCTACTCCCATGGGTCTGAGGCATTGGGGTCATTGACATGGCTGTGCCCAGGTTAACAAGACACATTCACTAAGGACTTCCTCACTCCCCACAGGTGTGGTGGCACACACCTCTATTCCCAGCACCTGGGTGATGGAAGCAGGAAGAGCAAGAGTTCAAGGCCTTCTCCACTGCAAAGTGCAGCAGCTTGATATACAAGAGACATTGTTTCAAAAATAAATATTCAGTCAGACCTAAGATCTCTTTCTAAATCCTCTTTGAAACATAATGAGATCCTTTGGGTTTGATTCAAGGAATGAAGTGGAATTCCTGTGCATATGGGTCCAAAGTAGCAGCACGCTCAGGGCCTTTCCCATTCCAGAAAATCTGGTCAAGACACAGGATGGGCCCTCTGCTGTGGCTACAGGTTCTCGGCTCATGAGCATGGTGTTGTTCATGTCGTCTCAGAACAACTGTTAGGCAGCAAAGAGGCAAGCTCAGGGGTACTTAATTTAAATGGGGTTTTCTCCTCAGCGATTCCTTGCTGATTCAGTTCATTTGCACACTTACCTTTCACATGCCCTTTCATCTCTAGGTTGGACAAGATGTTCCTAACTCCTCAGACTCAAAGAATATCACAGGGGTCACTATAATCCACCAGACATACTTCTGAGTTCTGCTTTGCCTCACTCTGAATGCAAGGGATGTCTTCTATACCACCGTCTCCTTATTGCAAATCATTACAGGATGACTCTTGAAGCCCTTACACTCAAGTCTTCACTGGGACATTATAATCAACAATATGACAGGACAGTGAAGGAAGACCCAGGGTTCACAGAGCTACCCTCATGCCACTGCAGCTGACACAGACAAGCCTCTGTGATTCACTTTGTATATCCATAAAAATGGGTTCTTTCCATCCCAGCAAATGAAGACAAAGTCCCTGCCTCCAAGGGTTACATATGGACCTTACTGCCTTCTCTGATGAAAAACAAAACGCAGCCTTCAAAGAAATAGAGCCAAGAGTGTGGCACACATTCCACCTATTCAGTTATCCTCCCAGTTTTCTTCATGCTCACTGGCTGTCACCTAGCTTACACCGGGGCTTCTGCTTTCCCAGGCTTACTATTTAATGATGTAGCCTCTGTCACTACACATAGTTATCAACAACCTAGTAAAGGGAACCTAGCCTTAAGCATTCCAACAGCCCTCCTAATAAGTCATTCCTGAAGAGTTTCAGGACAGCAGGAATATAGCATTCAAATGAAATTGGAAAATTCAGAATTCCTAAAGGATATCTGATATTATGTTTTTTTTTTCTTTTCCAGTACGTGATTTGGACCAAGGTCCTCACACTGCAAGTGTTATGCCACAGATATATATATATATATATTAAGCCCTTTTTGTAAAGGTAACTTTTATTTTGAGGTAGGTTCTCACCAGGTTACCCAGAGCCTGGAACTCTGCATGAGTCTTGAATTTTCAATTCTCTTACTTCAGCCTCCAAGAGGAGCTGACAATACAAGTTTGTACACCACACCTGGATATGCCTTATTTAATTTTTCATTTTTTTGAGACAGGTTTTTATTTAAGTAGCCCAGGCTGACCTCCAACTTGCTATGTAGCTGAGGATCACCTTGAATTCCCGACCTTCCTGCCTCTACCTCCTGGGCAGGCAGTATTTTACCAATTACCTGAATGTGGTTTTGATAAGGACTCCAGAACCAATGATTATGATAATGATCCCACTCACAGGGGCAAAGCCATAAGTAGAGTCTGACCTGCTTAAATAAGACTGAAGCAGCTGACATAGTGAATGACATCCTGCTTCTTTCCCAAGAATGTGAAACCATTCCAACTGCAAAATGTTCCACCTTCTTTCATGTGCATATTATTCCACATAGCCCAGGCTAGCATTGAACTCCATACTATCCCAGGATGACTTTCAGCTTAAGATCCTTCTGTCTCCCACTTGCCATGCACTGGAATTACAGGCATGTGTCACCAGGCCTGGCAAGTAATTCTGTTTTCTCTGAGGAAATTGTACACAAAGTCTAACCTTCCTCCTTTCACATCCAGTACTGTCCCTAACAGGAATCTTGAAAGTGCACTAACTAAGCAGGGGACAAGCTGAGCCAGGAGGAAAGGACAGACACAAAACAATGGTGATTCAAAGTTTCCTGGAAGAGCTGAAGAACCTCTCAAACTCCACAGAACCCAGTTTTGGCACATAGCAGAAAGGGGACAAAAGACTATGTAAGACGTTGGATGCGAGGGTGGATCATTTGTACCCCACTGGTGACTCAAGTTTATCTGGACACCTGCTACTTTGCTTGGCCATATACTTAAGCAAAAACGTAACTGTTCTTCCCCAGGTCTCTTAGAGGAAGTTATTAAAAAGCTTCTATTTGATTCTAGGATTAATGCCAGCCTCCATCCCCGTCCTCATCTACAACAGAATGTCCTATAACCCGGAAACATGAGATTTCCTAGAAGATGAAAGCTGTGGCTGAGTCTGTGCTCTTCTGCAAGAGTGATATTGGGGTAACGCCTGTACTGACTTTCTTCATGGTAACTGACACGATCAAAATTATGCATTTTGTCTAGAGACTGTTGTCTTCCCTGGCAAAAGCAAGAATCTTCTGAGCATTTCCCCACTCCCTAATCAGTCAACAGCTTCCAATCCCTTCCCCGGTGGAGGGAGGATTTTGGAAACTAGGAGATGAGAGAGGAGGAGAAGAGGGCCCTGCTGTTTGGACTTTGGGATGTGGTCTTCAGTCTGAAGATTGCTCCAGAGTCAGACACAAATGCTCAGGTCATCACTCCGGATGACACTCTATAAAACACTTCAGTTCAACTGCCAATGAGTCTTCTGCCAATTGCCAAGAGTCTGCTACAAATTCTTTCTCATTAAAGAATCATATTTTGCTTTTCTGATTACCAAAGTGCATTCATTATCAAAACTTATATCAAGGCTGGGAGTTGGTGTGAGTTTAATCCCAGCCTTTAATCCCAGCACTTGGGAGTCAGAGGCAGGCGGATCTCTGTGAGTTTGAGGCCAGCCTGGTCTCCAGAGCAAGTGCCAGGATAGGCTCCAAAGCTACACAGAGAAACCCTGTCTCGAAAAACCAAAAAAAAAAAACAAAAACAAACAAACAAACAAACAAACAAAAAAACAAAATTTATATCAAACAGTGGAAAACGTAAAGGAATATAAGTATAAAAGTTACATTTAACCTCCCATGGGTAACCAATAACACTGATACTTCTTTTATAGGCATAATAAATATATGTGCATAGGATGAGACATATATTGCATAGCATTACACTCTCCACGCTACTTTTAACATGATGCCCTTCTTTCCATTAATATATTACTGTCATATTTCGAATTGGCACATTAAATTCCTTGTGTTTATTTTCAGTTTTAAAGGGAGCTAGAACTCTTTCTTTTGAAGGACCTGTATGACCCTGATACCTTTTGTTTTGCTAGACAATGACTCATGTAGCCCAGCTAGCTCTGAGTTCACATGTCAGCTGAAGATGATCTTGAACTTCTGATTTTTCTCTCGATAGCTAAGACTACGATTATAAGTGTGCACCAACCTACCTGGCTAATATCCCAATACAGTACTTTTTTTCCTTCTCTTTCCCTCTGTGGCCCAGGCTGGTCTGAACTTAATATATATGCTAGACTGTCATTGTCCTCTTGCCTCAGCTTCCCAAGGGCTGAGATAACAAGCATGAACCACCTCTGTTCAGCTTCCCAATACTTTTGGATAGGTCCAAAGATTAAGGCAGATAGTTGCTTGGCGCAAACAAGACAAGTTCACAAAAACCTCCACTTTGAACTTTTGAAGCTATTGCTTAATGACTGGGTAAATAGCTGAATTTATGGGGTGTTAAGAGGATTGCTTTGAAGCCAAGCATGATGGTTCATACCTGTAATCCTAGCACCCAGACAGCTAAGGCAGGAAGACTGCCATGAATTCCTTCAGGCCAGCATGGACTACATAGTAAGTTCTCTGTCAGTCTTGGCTACAGAGTAAGACCTTGTCTCAAAAAAATTACTTTAAGAGAGAGTAATGGAATATAAACAACTGAAAGCAGAAATGGGGATTACTTTGAAGAAGAAAGAGGTCAGTGAAGTAAAAAAATAAGATTCAAGTATAATACATATGAAAATGTCATAATGAAACCCATTTTTTTTTGTATGCTAAGCAAAATGATAGAAAATAAGAAGGGCTACTAGGAAGGTTCTTTCCCCTAAAAGCACATTATTTTGTTAAATAATACAATTATAAAAATATGAAGGGCTACAAAGATTGCTACTCTCCCAGATGAACTGAGTTTGGGTCCTCCCACCCATACCAGGCAGCTCATAACCATCAGGAACTCTAGTTCCAAGGGACCTAACACCCTCTTCTGGCTTCCACAGGTACACACTCATATGTGGCATTTCCTCATACAGATGCCCCACCTACACATACATAAATTAAGTAACAAAAATAAATCTAAAAATATTAACACTTAAAATATACAGCAATTATATATATATATACACATTTTTGCCATTTCTCCATTTTTAGTTTTATTTACTGTGCACATGTGTTTTGTCTTCCAGTATGTATATGTATCATGTATACCTTCGGTGGTGAGCTGACATGGGGGCAACTGAACTCTACAAGAGCAACAAGTGCTGTTTGCTGCAGCTCACCAGTCCCCATTTCTTTTTATTATTATTATTATTATTATTATTATTATTATTATTATTATTTATTATTATTAATTATTATTATCATTATTATCAGCTATAGCTGTGACCAAATCAAAACTGACCAAGCTGGCTGTGGTAGCACCTGCTTGTAATCCCCCTACTCAGGCAACTGAAGTAGGAGACCTGACATGAGTTTGAAGCCAACCTGGGCTACATAATGAGCTCAAAAATAGCCTGTGCTGTATAGAGAGAAAAAAAATAAATAAAACTGATGTAGGATTCTGGATATCTGGAACTTCTGAGCAAACATTAACATTCTTCCTTTCCTGCACCCTAAAGCTTTGCCAGGGTGGGCTTAGGAGCAACAGCAGCCCTAACCATGCTCTCCCAGACTTCTGATTTTGGAAGTTCCTTAAACACTACCCAATGGATTCTGACCTAAAATGTTTTCCCAGTGTTTAGATTCAGCTATTTTCCAACAAGAGTTATTTATGAAAAGGAGCCACAAACCCTTTACACATTGATGTAATTTGCCTAAGACGGGTTAAGAGTCTATGCTCCCTCTCCCCTCCCACTTTCAGAATTTCATTCATGAGTTCACACAATGGCCCTCATGTTGTCTTGAGGACTTGCTAGCTCTCTTATCAAGTGTACTTCCTGGTTCTTGTCCTTAAAGTCTGTAATCCTCGTATGAATTTGTGTTTTTTTAATCTTATTTCTTTTTATTTTTTATTTTATTTTATTTTATTTTGGTTTTTCAAGACGGGGGTTTCTCTGTGTAGCTTTGGAGCCTATCCTGGCACTCGCTCTGGAGACCAGGCTGGCCTTGAACTCACAGATCCGCCTGCCTCTGCCTCCCGAGTGCTGGGATTAAAGGTGTGAGCCACTACTATTGTGTATCTTTATATTGCTTTGTATTAATAAAGCACCATAGTTGTAGTAAACACTCAAATTATGTGTTGATACTGAATGGATGGTTACAAGAAGCAAAACTCAGTTTTTGTATTTTTTTTTTTCCCAATAAAGGAGATGGTTCCCAGAGCCTGGTATGGTCCACACAGTTGCTCTACTACTGATCTACATCCCCAGCCCTTTTTTGTTTTTACTTTTTGAAACAGTCTAACTTGCCCAGGATGGCTTTGAACTTGTTTCTTCATACTTCTTACACCTGAGTAACTGAGATTATAATCCTATGGCACCAAGCCTGGCTGCATGACTCCTTTTGTTCAAGAGAATCAGGTATTTTTTCATTTTCACATAAAAGCTGCTATTGAAGCCTGGCCTTGGTGACGCCCACCTTTGAGCCCAGCACTTGGGAGGCAGAGGCAGAGGCAGGTGGATCTCTGTGAGTTCGGGGCCAGCCTGATCTACAGAGTGAGTGCCAGGACAGGCTCCAAAGCAATACAGAGAAACCCTGTCTCGGAAAAAAAAAAAAGAAGAAAAAAAAAAGCTGCTGTTTTCTTTTTACTAAAGATTTATTGATTTTTAAATGTGTGTGAGCACATGTGGATACAGTGCCCACAGAGGATGGAGTATCTGGTGCTCCTGAAGCTGGAGTTACAGAAGGTTGGAACTTGCCTGACATGGATGCTGGGAACCAAACTCAAGTCCTCTGCAAGACCGCTGAGCCCTTAACCGCTGAGCCCTCTCCAGCCACAAGCTGCTATGGGTTTTGTTTTGTTTTCAGACAAGGTGAATCAGAGGGCCCATACTCTTTGATGAAGCTTGAATTAATCCCTCTCTGATTATTATTATTTATTGTTGTATTATTATTATTACTACTACTTTAAGAGTTTGAGATAGGGTCTCACTATGTAGCTGTGGCTGGCCTGGAACTCACTATCATCATGTAGACCAGGTTGGCCTCAAGTTCCTGGAGAGCCACTTGCTTCTGCCTCCCAAGTGCTGGGATTACATGTGCGTGCCACCACACCCAGCAAATTCATATTCACTTGTTGTCATTATCTAATGTGTGTACACATGTATCTGTGTGCCTGTGTGTGCAGATGGGAAGACAGCCTCAGGTAGCATCCTTAGAAATGCTGTCAGTCTCTTTTGAGACATGAAGCTTACTAACTGGGCTGGCTGGGGAGCCCCGATATTCCCATCTCTACCTCACCAGCAGTGATTACAATATTACACTATCAAACCCATTTTTCAAGCTCAGATTCTCATGCTAGCAATGTGCTGTATGAACTGAGTCATCCCTCTCTCAGCATCTTATTTGTGGTTTTGAGACATAGTCCCATATAGTGAGGCTGACCTTGAACTTTCCATCTTCTTGCCTCTACCTCCTGAGTGCTGAGATCACAGCTGTGACCCTCACAGCCAGTTTACACAGTGTCGAAGATGAAGTAGAGTTCTATAGTCACTCTACCCACTAAGCTTCAATTCCAGCTCTGGTTGGTTTTTGTTTTTCTGTTGGTCTGTTTGTATGTTTTTAGGAAAATTTCTCTAGCCCAGACTAGACAGAATTCATGGATGTAGCCTAGCCTGGCCTAGAAGTCATAGCTGGTATTCCTGCCTCCATTTCCCATGTGCTGAAATTATAGGCAAGAGTTACCACACACAGCTAATTTTACATCTTCCCTCTCAGATTTCTGTATCTCTTGTTACTTCTTTCTTCCTTCCAATATGTATTTTTTACTTTATTTTCTTAAAGATTTATTTATTTATCATGTATACAGTTCGTGCCAGAAGAGGGCACTAGATCACATTACAGATGGTTGTGAGCCACCATGTGGTTGCTGGGAATTGAACTCAGAACCTCTAGAAGAACAGTCTCTTAACCCCTGAGCCATCCCCTTTTACTTTTTATCTGTGTCTTTCACAGCATGCATCTCAATCCCATTCGTTTCCCTGTCCCTTTGTATCTGCCCTTACACTACCCCCTGAAAAATAGATTAAAATAAAATTTAAGAGAAAAAAGAAAAAGGAAAGAAAAAATCTAATCATAGGAGCTGGAAGCTGTAGTGTGACACAGTGAATCACGTAGTAAACTCTTTTATCCATATATCTTCATTTGCAAGAGTCCATCGCAAAGGGTCATTGGTCTGCTTCGAGGCCTCTGGTTTCTGCTACACTAACGATACTGGCCCTCACTGGGACTCCTCTTGGATATCCTGTTGTTGCTCTGTGTTGTGGAGATCTGACAGCTTTGGATCTACAGGACCAGCCCCTCACATGCTCCAGTAGATAACAGTTGGAGTGGATGTTGAGG